AGAGAGGGAGACACAGAATCCGAAGCAGGCTCCAGGTTCTGAGTCGTCAGCACAGAGCCCGACGCGGGGCTCGAATCCACGAACTATGAGACCACGACCTGAGCCAAAGTTGGACGCTTAACTAGCCACCCAGGTGCCCTAGAAATGTTAGATTTTGATTAATGGTTAGTAAAAATAAATTTTTTTCCACCATCCAATTTCACAGACCCCTGAACTCCATCCATGGACCCCCAGGTCATGAGCCCCTGCTCTTAGGCCTGGCCTACCTACTTCTCTTTGTGAGCTCTTTCTAACTTCATTTTCCCAATGTGCTGTTATCTTACCCCTGTTTTTCTGTTTTCAAAAATTATGTTTTATTTGATACAGATACTTGAAATACACTTCTGTATCCTACTTTTTAAGCTGTAAAGGAAGGCCCTCTTTTTTTATTCCTCGCATGGCAAATAATGCCCTGCCTCATAGCACACACAGGAGGGAAGGCACACAGCCAGCACTGTTTGAATGAGTGAGCTCAAGGGCTTGCTTCCTGCCCCACACGGACTCAGCTGATAGGACTATTATGTCACCTCTCTCTGGCAGCTTGTGAGCTCCTAAATATGTAGACAGGACACCTAAACACTCCATATTCAAAGTATAAAGTACTGAAATGAGGCAATAAAATGTTCTCTTCTTTTACTTCCCTTTAGAGAGGATGTCCATCTCACTTGAATTTGTTCTTCTTGAGACACACTAGGTATATGGTATTAAATAAAAACAGCTTAATGATAATGAACAGGAGCATGACTGTTTAATCTTTTGTTTCAAGAATTATGACATATACATCCTCGTAAATAAATAGTAAGATATTTACAGGCATTCCCACACAACACACTGCACTGCATGTACTTTTTGTTTCTAATACATATCATAGACTATGTGCAGCTCCTGATTTTTTTTTTTATTTATATATGAAATTTATTGTCAAATTGGTTTCCATACAACACCCAGTGCTCATCCCAAAAGGTGCCCTCCTCAATACCCATCACCCACCCTCTCCTCCCTCCCACCCCCCATCAACCCTTAGTTTGTTCTCAGTTCTCAACAGTCTCTTAGGCTTTGGCTCTCTCCCACTCTAACCTCTTTTTTTTTTTTTTTTTCCTTCCCCTCCCCCATGGGTTCCTGTTAAGTTTCTCAGGATCCACATAAGAGTGAAACCATATGGTATCTGTCTTTCTCTGTATGGCTTATTTCACTTAGCATCACACTCTCCAGTTCCATCCACGTAGCTACAAAAGGCCATATTTCATTTTTTCTCATTGCCACGTAGTATTCCATTGTGTATATAAACCACAATTTCTTTATCCATTCATCAGTTGATGGACATTTAGGCTCTTTCCATAATTTGGCTATTGTTGAGAGTGGTGCAGCTCCTGATTAAAGGTAAGATCTCATTACCGCTGGGAACAAGTATCTCTAACATGGTTCTCATCTGCATGGGTCATCCCTTCTCCCTTCTTCCTAACAGATCCCCCATATTCCTTCAGCCACAGTGCCTCAGGGGCAGGCGACAACACTCCCAGCTGGAGGGTGGGGACTTGATGGGTCTAAGGCTTTGCAGTGTGCCAACCAGCAACATCGGCATCACCTGGGAACTTCTGAGAAATGTCAACTCTGAGGTCCCATCCCAAACCTACTGAGTCAGAATCTATGTTACAAGATCCCCAGGTGACCTGTGTGTCCACAAGGTTTCAGATGCACTGATCTAAGGGGAACGCATTCCTCTTGCCAATGACTGGTTCAAGACTAGGCATGCGACCCAATGCAGGCCAACAAGATGTGAAGAACGGTTTCCTGGGAGCTTCTTCTCATTCTGATTAAATTCCTCCTTTCTGAATGTTCCATGGGATGTGATGCCTAGGGCTTCTGTAGCTACCTTGCTCAGTCTAATGATAAAGCTGGCCCAGAGAGGAAGGTAAAGACAAAAAATCCCAGAGAAGCAAAGTTGGGGTGACTGCATTAGGTCAACCCTGAAGTCTGTGGAACCAATGGAATCCAGTAAATTTCATATTGTTCAGGCCTCCTTGAGTTGGGTGTTCAATGACCAGTAGCTGGAAAGCATCTTGACCACTCAGTGCCCAATAAAGCATTATACAAGGAACAGAACACAGAGGCACTGGGCTCAGCCACATGCTGAAGAGTCCAGACAAGTTGGTGCATCGAGAGGCCACAGCAACAGTTTAGAGACTTGTTTTGTTTGGGGAAGTGACCCAGGAGTATTTCTGGTTCTGACAACCTTTGTTCACTTTGCACATTTCCAAGAGCTTTCTAAATCAGCCAGTTTAAATGATCAACCAGAGGAAGTGCTGAACACTTTCCAAATTATTTTAGCCAGAGTGGTCAACAGTTGCTTTCCCCAGAAGCCACATGGATGTCATTTCCTGTAAAGACAATGGGAGACTAATTGCTCAGCCTCAGACTCCAGTAGGGAAGACAACCTGTGACATGTAATTACTGGCAGGGTAAATAAGGAAAAGCTGGAGGATCTCAGAATCTGCTTTTGGATCCACTCCAATAACTTGGGGGAAAGTAAAAAAGAGCCAGCTGGTTTAGAAAAAGATTTGAGGGGCCAGGAGCTTAGGCAGTTGCTCTTAGCATTTTTACATACCACTGGTACTTATTTAAGACCTTTCTGAGGAAACCAAGTAGATCTGCTCTTATATAAAGCCATATACGGCTTTGGTGTAACTTTGCTTCATGTACAGGAGTGATGTGGTCAAGGAGAAGCGGGTGTCTAAATGGACATGATCTCTTCTGTGTTATAGCTTCTTAGCCCCAACAGGATATTTTGAGGGATGGGTTTGTCATGTTGGCTTGATGAAAGATGTGCTTTCCTTTTTTTTTAAGTTTATTTATTGTGCGAGAAAGAAAGAGAGAGCATGAGCAGAGGAGGGGCAGACAGAGAGAATCCCAAGTAGGCTCCAGAACTGTCAGCGTGGAGCCGGACGCGGGGCTCAAACTCACGACTGTGAGATCATGACCTGAGCCGAAATCAAGAGTTGGATGCTTAACTGACTGAGCCACCCAGGCAACCCCAAGAACGTGCTTTCTATCATGGAGTGAATATTAGTTGGTTTTCCACAGAATTTTCTGTATGTTCTATCACCTCAGATCTCTTTTTCTCCCCCAAAGCTTTTTGCCTTCTCTTCCCTGGTATTTCATATACTTCCATAGTCCCAACCATTACCCCTAGTCACGTGTTTTAAACTATATCCCTAGATCTATCACCCATGCTACCTCCTAAATATAATGTACCTTAAAGGTGGGGACCTCGTTTTGGTCACTGCTAGTGTATCAATGCTTAGCACAGTGGCTGGCGTTGAGTGTTGTATGTTTGTTGAATGAGTGAGTGAAAGTCTTCACTCAGAGTCTTAGGATGACTCACAGAAGTTCTTGCTATGACCTCCTAACTGGCCTGACTTTGGTGTCTCCTTTTCCCACTCTATGGACACACATGAAAGCTCTGAATTACAGCTCTGATCATGTCAGTTTCAGAATGCCCCAGCTGGGAATGACTTATTAGCTGTATTTTCCAGGTGAGAAACTGGTCCCAGTGAGACCAGGAGACTTGCCTTAGGTCTTACGAATAGTAGGTGGCAGAGGCAGGATTATAACTCAGGATGCTAACCAGTGGTTCTTGCCACCATGCTACTGACTGGTTTGAAATCTTCAGTGATCTTTCAGTAGAACCTAGTACAGGGCTAGGTATGTAAAAGTCACATAATAAATATTTGTTAACTGACTGGATAAATGAGTGTCTCCCTTTTGCATATACCAATGGGTTTCAGTTTTTCTTAAAGTGGAATACTCTTTAAAGAAAGACGATTCTCAGGGCGCCGGGGTGGCTCAGTC